GAACAAGAACTGTGGCACAAAATTATACTTGCAAGGTATCAAAAAAGGCACATTTTATCAATGGTTTGCGAAATCAGAACATTATCACAACACTATTTTAAGAATCCATCAGACTTACAAAATCCTATTTTCTTTACAATTTTCAAGCTAGAGTATTTAACGCAACTGTCACACTTAATTCTGGAAGGCCGCCTGTTCGAGAGTAGTAGGCTTACGGCAATATCAAATTGGAACACTGGTTCTCGTACGATCGCCTAAGTCTGCAACGCCGAGCCTGGCCAATACCTAGATGGGTGACCGCTTGGGAATACCAGGTGCCTGGAAGCTTTGGTGTGCGGGTAGTATGGCTTACAGATATATCACGTTGAATCACAGATTTTCGTACTATCACCGAAATTAAGCAAGTACCTAAAAGGGGTGACCTCTTGGGAATACCAGGTGCTGTAAGCTTTCATGTGCTGGTGATGTAATGGATAATGGCTCGGAATTGGAAATCAGAGAGTAGAGTTCCAATTCCGTCGGGTTCGTTATATTTATTTACGCGTAAATACGCTTGGGAAAGTTATGAATCCACCTCTTCTACCCCCAACAATGGGTTAATTAGTATGACTTGTATCAGTAAATCATCATCTCCAAAAATTCTATTTTCTGGCTTTAAATAACCTGCAAAAGGTTGATAGGCCTTAAGAAACAAATCGATCAATTGAGAGCTGTAAATACTGTTGAGTTTGAGCGTACTTTATGACCTTGTGCTAAACTAAGGTTAATAAATATCATCTTATCATCAGCGCACCTACTACAGAACGAGGATTAAGTTAATCATGCAGATTTTTAACGTTATGAGTTTGATTCTCACAGGGGATTATTGAAGCCCTTTGCCAGATGAAGCTTAGTAAATACCTCATAAGGCACTTTCTGTAGAGCATTGAATATTAAGCTAACCTCAGAGGCTATAGCTATTGTATAGAATTCAGTCGCTATAGATTACCCTACTATTAAGGTCCTGTACCAGAACAAATCAAGTTTTTGCGCAACAAATTGGGCATTTTAGATTTTCTACTTTAATTCGGACCTGAGCCAACCTGTTCAAGATATCAGTGCCTTTCTTAATGTATCCAGCTTTAGAATAGGCACATAGCTTGTTATTTCTCTCGGGTGTTGTGCACAATGTAGAATATGCACATTTAACAGGACTCTATTGTAAACAAGTCACAGTAAAGCAGAGTAAATATAGTTTAGTCTTTGAGCGGAATTATTATGACGGACATTATGATTATTTGAGCATACGCCGTAAAGCAATTATTTGTTCGTTCATCTTTGGGTGAACTATGATAATGATAATTGATTGAGTGGTCGTTGGAAGAACGCTTTTTTATATCAATATTGGTATTTCCTTTACGTAAATCGATCTATAGTCGTTCAAATAAAACTAATCTACGAAATTAGATCTGTATAAACTATGTATCTTGTCATATTTCCAATCATATAATGCGCACTTTTCCACAAAAAAAAAATAATAATAATTTTAAAAAAATGTCATCCTGCGCATTACCCTGAAAGATTATTGTTTGGGGGTACCAACAGTTTGAAGTGACTGATACTCACACACACTTCTGAATCTCATTATTCTATGTTTCGTCTCCCTTAAGGATGTAGGCGATCATGGCTCTCTACAATCTTTTATCTCTTGTAGCTCACAGCAACGCTTATCCCTTTGCCATCCCCCACCTCTGCTGCTATCCATTCACACTTGCTCGTCACACTTGCTACCTTCATTTTACCTTCGATATATACTGTATCATATTTTCCAACTCCTTCCTCATTACATGTCCCAGAGATTTCAACAGTTTCTTTCTGATTCTACTTATAAGTGTCGTTTCTTTTGTTTCCATTTTCCTTGAGACTTTCTCATAGCTAACATGTTCCGTCCAAGTTATTCTCAGCATCCTTCTGTAGAACTGTATTTCTGTTGCCTCAAGTTTTCTCTTTCTGTGAGATTTTTCAGCATTCTCTACCCTTATAGGAGGATTGATATTACATAACAGTACAGTACTCTTTTCTTTTCTTGCTTTAGAATTAGATTTAACAGACGCAATATATAATGGAGGAAAATGGAGTATAAAACATTAGCTCCTTCTATACACTGCTATATAGACTGATGTTTGCAGGCATAATTTCAGAATAATAAGTCCAAATATTAATCGCAAGGTCAGCATTTCCGTCCTAAAAGGACTTACTTGTGATTCGTATTCGTAAAATGTATTCGGGGGAGATAAATCAATTATTTCAAATCAAGTTTCTCTCACTGAGCCATTCGCCAAATAATAGTCAAATCTACACAATTTCTACGAAATGTTTTTTTTTTCGTTTTCACTTTGAATTCTAGCCAATATCATTTCGTCTCTATCATTTATGTTGGTTTTCTCTATCAGAATTCTTTTTTTTTTTTTCAATTAACCTATTTTTTTCTCTTTATAAGCATACTCTCAACTATAATTAAAATTTGGAATATTAATATCAGCCATTAACATGAATTTCATTCATAAGTTCGTTTGAAAGTCCGAGAAGCAGGGTTAATCTATAGTGAATTCGTTTTACAATTTGATCATTTATTATATTATACTGTTTAGGTTTCTTATTTATTCAGGATTTAAGCTGAAGAGGAGACCTCTAAATATTTTATTTTTAAATACATATTATAATTCTCTCATTCAAATGTATTTATAATCTGTGACTTAGGACTTATATCCAGCCTCGCTTTAGTACTTAGTGAGATCTTTTCAATTTATTAGCATTGGTCTAATGATTTTTAACGAAACAAGAAGTTTCATATTCAGTAAAAGAAACTTTTTAAAATGTTCTATTCTTATATATTCTGCTCAAAGGGAAAAAAGTCTGTATCTTTCAAGCAAGAGATTTTTCTTAATCTTCAGCAGCAAATTTATTGACTAAATCCAATGCTTTATGCAATTATTTCTCCTTCAGTAATTACCAGAAAGACCTAATCTCTTCTCTGGGATTGATATTTTATTTGTGACATGTTATTTTTTGATGGCTTTGTGTTTGAAACTCAATTTCAGAAGCAATGTTAACAATTATCACGATAGAAACCACAGAATAACAAGGAGGAAAGAAATTAAGGAAGGAAGGAAGAAAAAATGAAAGAATGGAAATGAAATCTGCTGGACTGCAAAAGGATTAGTGAAATTATGGCTGGTGTGAAATAATAATAATGGCAGTGACTGTTACTACTACCACTTTTACGCCGATAATTACCGAGGCATTCGGAATAATCCTGAAATCGTTTACAAAACGATGGAATAAGTATAAGTGATTGTTCAAATGTAATATGTTATATGTTTTAAGTTAATTTTTGAAGTTTTAGAATCTATTTTCTTTTAATTATAACTCATTAAGTGTCTGGAGTTCAGTCAGAAATATCTTTCTTTTTTTTTTTTCTTTGGAGGGGGTCTACCCATCTGGACACACCTAGAAAACAGAGAGGCCATAGAATTTTTTTGTTCGGTAGGAGAAATTGCTGCAATCGTTTACTGTAGTTTAGTAAATGTTTATAAAAAGGCTGCACTTCATGTAAGTACACTATGGCTAAGTAAATGGGGACAGCCTGAGGGAGAAAAAAGAAATTGACCTTAATGTGAGGCTCCACAGGAGAAGACCAGTTTATATTTTAAATTAGAAAAAAACAAGCAGCCTGTTGCTCTCAATGAGAGCAACAGGCTGCTTGTTTTTTTTTAAGTATCAGTACGGCAAAACTCTGTGAAAGCCTTTAAGTGAGTCATGATAGTGCTTGCAGTTTAGTGACTACACAATGGCCTGTACTGAGAAGGTTCCCAAAATACTAAAAGACCCGAAGGAAGAACAAAGTTGTTACAGCCCGGGTCCTTTTGTAGTTCTGAGCTGACACCTTCAGATTTTTTATCTATTTGTATCATTGAAGGAGACACTCAGAAGATAACTATTGTCTAATGCTGAGATGTAGCATACAACTGGCACATGGCTGCGAAAAAAGCCAAGAAGCTTTTACGAGGAGGGTATACATGTCCTCATTGAAAGCTAGAATACTACGATTAAGAAGGAAAGACTATGCTAAGGACTAGATTTGGAGTCTTGATTGTGTTCATCTTGTGTTTACTCCTACCAAGAAATCTCTTTAATTAAAAATGAACAGGTATTACTTTTTAACAATCTGCACTAATTAAAATAATAATAATTACTGTTTTATTTTCTTCTATTTTCATTCTTGAAATGTTTATTTTCAATGATTATCCTATGCAAAGGACGGTTCATTCTTTCTCAAGAAAGAATTGACTTTACTTATTTTTTTTCCTATTTTTTTTCTTTATTGCATCGTTAGCTGTTTCAATTATTTTTTCCTGGTAAATATAATGGAAAAACTCAATGATTGGTTAGTTTCGATATGATATCAACATCGTTTGCCATGTTTTCTCAATTATATCGTCTTTCTGCTCTTTGTTATTGCAACCGTTTCGGATATTTTGTTTATTTTATTTTTGTCATTAAGTATGTTTGCTTTAAAAAAATTCCCATGTCTGCCAGACGGTCTAAACTGGCGAAGCTTCCAATGATAGAAACCAAACTTGGTGGATGTATTCTTTGGTTCAATAACTTAATGTTTAAGTAGGCGACATCTAAAAGAGATTGAGTAAAGATTTGCAATTGAGTTGAAGGGCCATCAAATCATAGAAGTAGAGAAATGTATTTTTGAGTGTTTTAGACAATGTAAAACTTCAAATCATTGAAATAAATACGACATTAATGTAGACATTTTTTACCGTTTACACTTATTTGTAGAATTTTGTGATTAAAGATTTTAAAAGATTATTATTATTATTATTCTAATTGTTTATATGATCGTTATGTTTTTCTTATTTCTAAGATGCCCATATCACATATTAGCGTGCTTTAGCTTAACACACACACACACGTGTATGTGTATGACCTGTGATTCGAATGTTTGTTCATCGGTTCTCGTACAATTTCCGAAGTTAAGCAACGTCGAACCTGGTCAGTACCTAAATGGGTGACCACTTGGGAATACCTGGTACTGTAAGCTTGGATGTGCAGGTGATGTAATGGACAACGACTCTGAATTGGAAATCGAAAAGCAATTCCAGTCAGTCCGTTATATTCACTTATGCGCCAATATCCTTAGAAAAGGTATGTATCCATCTGTTCTCCCTCCAGCTATGGGTTAATTAATAGGAATTGTATCAGTAAATTATTATCTTCAAAAGATTCTTACAATCTAGTTTTTTCTATCTTTAAATAACCTGTAAAAACTTAATAAGCCGTAAAAAAAACAAATCTATCAATCGAATGTTTGTTAGTTTTATTTCGTAATACTAAGTTAAGAAATTATGTGCGCGTAGATTGACAGTTATAAAGTGGAATCAGCATAAATTCGCATGAATACCCTTGGAAAAATATGAATTCATTTGTTCTCACTCTAGCTATGAGCTAAATCCCAGAGTAGACTGGACTACTATGAATTCAAACCTTGGAGAAGCCACCGTACTGTATTTTATACACACGAAAGGAAGCTGTGTAGAGCCATGATCACGGTCTGAAGAGACATGGTACTTAAAGGAAAGTTAAAAGATTTCCAATGTTCAATATCTTTCAAAAAGATATGAATAAATATTTTAACGTCATTTAAAACACAAACTAAATTTAATATTTTCTTGTTTTAAACTTTAAAATCTATCAGATTTCTTCTCAAGAAATAGTTAAGGTAGTGGACTAACTTTAAAATACTAATGGGCGATTATGAATGTCAATAAACTCGAATCAAAATTTTATCTCGTTCATTTAATGAGTTTAGTTATATTTTTCAAACAGGACTGAACTTGATGACCATTGCTTAACCGACACGACAAAAGCGTTTGTAGTCAGTGCATCACCAATTTTACATCTTAATCTCTCATTTTTTTTCTTTCTAATCTATCTTAATTTTATTCATTTTGATTGTTAATATATGTAAATCTATAAGAATCATATTCTGTCACTATTTGTAGAAATGCATACGCGAAAGTAATGATATCTTAGTTATCAGCACAAGTGGAATTTCCACGGGTTCAATTAGTAAGTATTCTGTGGATAAGGGCTGAGTTTAGGGTATTATACAGAATAATGTATTTCTTTCTTTAGATAATGGGTAAAAAAAAGTCGTATTTTTATTCATATATTTATAACAGTCCAGATAGTTTTAGCTCTTCTCTCTCTCTCTCTCTCTCTCTCTCTCTCTCTCTCTCTCTCTCTCTCTCTCTCTCTCTCTCAGCATCTGTGAGAATCAACTTTTCCTCGATTCACTATTACAATGTCTTTCTCCTTTCTTTCTCTACATCAGTATCTCTGTGAATTTCTAGAAGTTATATCAATGACTGTTATCACTCTAACCTTTCAGTGTTCAATCTTTACACGTTGCTAACTCAGTGCTACATACATTAAATCTCATTTCTTCCTGTTCTCCACGTTCATTTAACATTTGACCATGTCATATTTGATTATAGGTGTAACAGCTTTTTGTTATTAATACTTCTTGCATATACGAATAGTTTGTTCAGCTGAAATGTTCACCCACCTACTGTTTTCTTGGTATCAATAACGAGTCATTTTTGTCAAGATATATGGTGATAGCACAAACCGCAGAGAAAGGTGAGTTCATGCCTATTTCAAAGAGCATAGTTTAAGCCGATATTCGAGCTTAGTTCGCCGATTTTGTTTTCTGCGCTAATGAACATTACGCTAATACCATATAATCCATGATTCCGTTAACTTATAGGAAGACAAGAAATCTCTAACATTTTATCCGTTATTTTGTTTAAATGCGAACTTATATACTCTGACAGTAAATAAAAATGCAAAGCCTAATGTATTTTAGCGTCCGTACATTTCAGAAAGATGGATTATAGTACACGATTGTACATAGAGCTCAGTATGTGCGTAGGCTCATAAAGTTCAACAGTACTCAGGCCTTTATATATATATATATATATATATATACGCACACACAAAATGTGTCTGCATACAATTGTACAGATGGCAAATACCATTCTGCGAAATATTGTGTCATGCCTCTTGCAACTGTTGACGCAATATGGCAAGAGTTGTAGGTGGGATAGCTGACAAATCAAACGTCGTCCCATCATATCTCAAACGCATTCAGTGGAGAAATCATTAGCGATCCTGCCAATCAGTGAAGCTTTTGCACATCTTGTACAGCATGTTCAGTAGTACGAGTATCAAGTTTGTGGATAATTATCCTTCTATAAAAACTTTATAATAGAGAAGTGAAAGGCGACCCCATAGTTACGCTGTTAGTCTTGATATAAATGTTAATGAGTAATTGGAAAAAAGACTTATAAACTTTGAAGAGCTTTTCCATAAATTTGATTCAGATGTACAACTTGTACGTAAACTGAAAAGAAAAATGTAATACAAATTTAAACAGATATAGCCGGTTGTTTTTGACTTCCTACTGCCTAATTATACATTCGATATATATTATACTAGCTTAAAATCGCCCTATCGGACAGCATTTTAGCTAGCTCCTACGGAGGACTCTTTATTGGGCCTTCGGTTTGTTCAGGAGTTTGAAAGTCCCTAAGTCTTTCGATATTTGAAGCCCCGGCAACCATTCTTCTGGGTTTTCATTTGCACGAGACATTTTCGTCGTTGCAGCCTTGGCTCCTTTGATTGCAATCTGGTCCTCTGTTGGCGGAGATTTCTTGTTGTAAGACATACTGCTGCCGGATGCGATAGGCAACAATAAACTACAGAATAACTCAAAATTGATCGCTGCATTTAAGTATTGCAGTAATATTTAAACTTACCTTTTTAAAAGTTCAATGATAATTCCACTCAAACTAATAGACGAGAAATTTTGTCTAGAGAACAGATCATGAGGTTAATGTTGGTTGTTTACGTCATCAATCAGGGGATTTTTGCCACACTTTTTAATATCAATACATTAATGCTTATTACAACGACTAGGCTCAAGTATTAGATTGTCGTTTCCACAGCATCTTATGATGCTTCTATGAAACAATATAATCGGTGGACATACACTTAGATTTGCAAGTATATTTTATAGATGTAGATACAAAATGGTGTTTCAGATATATATGAGTATTAAATACAATTGATTGTCTGATGGATAAATATTTATATTTATCTATCAATACTTTCAATTCATATATCACAATCACGAATCCCGTAACCCTCGAGTTGTATTGGGGGGTAGTACATGAACTACAGCCACAAGATAACCTGACGGAGTCCAGACCTCTCCATGCTGGTTTGAATTCAGTTTTCCTTCTAGAATGGCTGCCAACCAAGGCTGTCCTACTATTTACCCATATTTAGTTAATTCGTGTATCTATAGTAGCTAACCCCTTTTTTCTGCACTCGGGACGTGTCGAAAGAGTTTTAAATCAGGAGGCTATATTGGCAGCCATTCATCTCTAATATCGGTTTGATTAAAATGATTGACAAAGTTGCTTCTGTAAAGTTTTTATTGTATTTTCTTGTGTACGAATATGTTTTAAAGAAATGTATATGCGCACACACAATTGTAAAAACAGCACATGTACACATTTTGCTGAAAAATACATAAGAATTGAAATGGATACACTGTTCGAATCCCAACTGGTTCGGTTCATGATTACTTCGCGCTAATGCCCTTGAGGAAAGCATGAATCCACATATCTTTAGTCTCTGTTCTATTGTTAGGCAGGTATCTTGAAAAAATACCTAAGGAGGAAATGTTAAGCGATTTTTCAAAATGAGTGCTTATTTAAATTGAACGCTCCCGAGTGGTGTTGTTCTTTTCACCTTAAAAGGAATTCATCAGTGTACCGACAATTTGAAACAATTCTTTTTGTTTATCAAATTTCTTGAATGGGAGCGTTCAAAATAAACAGACATCCATTTTGAAAACTTGCTAAGCGTGAAACAGTACTCTGAATGAAGAAAATCAGATTTTTTTTTTTTTTTGTATCAAAAAACTATTTTAAAAAATATTTCCAAAACAGTGTAATGATATACCTAAGAAAAAGAATATTCAAAATTATACATACATAAACATCATACATTTTATATAATACATGCATATGTACAGATGTGTGGCTGTTTTTGCTTTCCAGATATAAAACAATTAAAAAAAAATAAAAGCATTTTTTTAATTTATCAATTGAACACAAAAAAAATGAGAAAAAAATATAAGAATCAATGAATTACAATTTATATGTAGAAATATGAATAAATCCGGAGCTTAATAGTGAAAAGATTTTTATACAACAAATATTTTCCTCATAATCTCCTTTTCCATCAGTGTTCTTAATTCCATGATGAATATTAATCACATCGATCTAGAAATGAAAATTTCAGACAATAACGTGTCGAACTACGGACTTATTGATCCACCTCATGTAATTGGTCCATATTGATGGAAGGAATTATTCTAAAGGAATCTATATTCGGGTCACAGGAAGTTGATAAAAGTTTGACGCCATCTTCAAAAGAAATTTCAGCAATATCAATCGCATAAAGAATCATTTTTAAAGGTTCGAACAAGTATTGAAATATTAATGCCTTTTCTCAATTTTCGGTAACAAAATTAAAAAAATAGCAGTCGACATTTAAAAAATGAATTTGTCAGGACATGATCCGAGTATCAGTGAAAATGAAACACTGAAGTCAAGAAAATTAATATAAGCACCTCCAAAAATTCGCTACAAAGAGGATACATTATGAAAAAAGTGGACAAGACAATAAAAACAAACTTCTATTTTCAAACCTTTGTGTTATTATTAAGATAAAAGACCAACGCATTTTTAAGCAAACATTTCTTATCATTTTTAGCAATTTTTTTAAAAATCATGTTTTTTTTTTTGTTTCTGGCGTCAACGTGGTTCCATAAATTTGTACAGAAAATTTAAGCGTCATTTTGCCATGAAAAACACATTGATTCAGAAATTCTTGCAAAAATCAGATAATTGTCGGATTTTGATTAAACTTTCGCGACTTATTCAGAAATGAATGAAATCATTTA